ATCACCCAGGAAATGTCTAAAATTATGATTCCTGAGCCCCAGCATAGACCTACTGCATCTGAAATCTCAGGCATGATGCATGGATGCCTATCTTTTGTGTTACTTACTTTTTAAAGCTGCTGAGTTTTAAAAACTAAAAACTAGCCACTGTGAGCAACCATTGACTAGACCACAGACTGGCAGGCACCAAGGATGAAAAGGAGTCAGACCCCACTGGGAGCTCACACTCTACAGATCACTGTTAATACAATGTAGTATATGCCAAATCCTAAAGGGTCACACTGGTAACTATGTGCCAGAAGTTCAGAGACAGCAGAGCATTGGGACTGACTCATCAACCTAAGTTCTTTGTTGAGGAAATAAGAATGTGGATGAGGCATCACTTCCTTATTTAGGGCTTTTCATTGAAACACATTTTAGAAATGAAGGTTTGTATTCATCATCAAATCCAGTCTCGTTATTTTATAATTAAAGAAGTAAGACACAACTTTGATAAATGTTTACACAAAAGCCATTTTCCAAATGCAATTACTATAAAATTGGGAAAAATAGCTTGCCATGGATAAGAGGACTTAGAAGGAAGAGACAGGAAACAAAGGGTAAGGTTGAATGGGCCCTTCCTTTGCAGATCCTCCCATACACACACACACACACACACACACACACACACACACACACACACACCAAGGTTGGTAATAAAATTGTTCAGAAATTTTCCTTATGTGAGTTCCTAACTTGGTATTGCTTTCTTGAGTACGTGATTTGTGTCTACATTTTGGAGTACAAAAGCACAAAGGAAAGAACAGTATCTCATCCGAGGCTACACCCCAGTGCCTAACAAGGAACCTAGCACATAGTAGGCAATCCATAGATGCGCTGTGTCAGTGGAGGTGCCCAGAGCCCACGCCATTTCTCCTGCACCCTCAGGCTGAGTAAGGTAGTGCTCCTGGCCCTGAAATAAACTGTAAGAAGATTTCCATACTGAGCCAGGAAAAAAAAGTAGGAAGTGGGCATCTGAGCTACAAATTGAACAAGGGGCTGACATGAGCTCATGGATCCATGACAGGCCCATGAGTATAGAAGTTTAAACTGTGTTTCTTACAACTGCATGTGGTTCCCGACTCTGAGCACATGGCACTGGGCATTAACCTGGGCCATTTGTGGAACTCTCCCTCTGCCTCAGTCCTACTGAGTCCATGAGCACAAGGCCAAAGGCCCACCTGGTAGGTGTCTGCCCAGGAATGAGGACAGATCTGCTCTTAACAGCTCAAGGAAGACACTAGGACTCTGGAGATCTCCAGTGGGGGACCAAAACCCCCAAACAAACCTGAACACCAATGGTTAGGTGGACCATCCCAACCAAATGGGATCATCCCAATTATGACACCATACTTCTTTAATGGACTAAGACCCAGGTGGTAGCAGGATATGACTGAGGACTTTGTGTTGGCCTCAGGCAAAACACACGTGAAGTATACACAAACCCTGGGTAACTGTCTTGGCACACACCTGCACATATTGTAATCCATGGAGTATATTCATCCAAAAGGTGAGATGGGACAAAAGTAAGAAGAGGGAAGAAGTGACAGAGGTAGAAGAGGACAAAGAGGAGAAACAAGAACAAAATAAGTCCAGGGTTTAGAACAATTTATGGGAAAGGACCACTGATTGTACTCCAAGGAGAAAAAATAATCTGCCGTTCTATAAAATTCTCTTGTTCTGCCCTAGCCGGTTTGGCTCGGTGGATAGAGCATCAGCCTGCGGACTGAAGGGTCCCAGGTTCAATTCCGGTCAAGGGCATGTACCTTGGTTGCAGGCACATCCCTAGTCGGGGGTGTGCAGGAGGCAGCTGGTTGATGTTTCTCTCTTATCGATCTTTCTAACTCTCTATCTCTTTCCCTTCCTCTCTATAAAAAACCAATAAAACATATTTTTTAAAAAATTCTCTTGTTCTGTGTTAGAAACGATAATAAGCTGACCCTGATCTAAACACAACATATCACTAAGGTTTAAATCAGAGATCAAATCTATATATATAAAAGGCTAAGCGACCATCCAACTGGCCATTAGGTATGATGTGCACTGACCACCAGGGTGCAGACACTCAACGCAGGAGCTGCCTAGTGACAACAACTCTCGCCCTCTGGGACCCTTCCAGAGATGTTGGAGAGCCAGTTTCGGCCCAATCCCTGCAGACCAAGCCAAGGATCCCACCTGCCAGAGGGACGCTGCTCACTCCCCATATGCCCTTCAAGCCCCAGCGCTGCCCCCATTGCGGCAGCCAGGGAGGGACCATGGAAGGTTGACTCTAGGGCGTGTCTGGCCAGTCTCACCCAGACCATGTCTTGCCAGCCACCTTCTAATTAATTTCCTTTCAATGTGCAT